TCATTGGAAATCGTACCTTGGAGCAGAACATATTATGATAAATAGCACCCGCCACGCGGTGTATGGACCGGCTTATCGACGACTGTTCTCCTACGGGCCGATGGAAGCATCCTGTCGCAAAAAATCGTAGGGCAGCTAGAACCTATCCAGGCACAATCGAAAAGTATTTAAATTTGCAGTAAAACTAAAAAGTTGTGTAAGTTACCTGTTTTTCCGTCTTTATTGCGGTTACTCTTGAGCCTCTTAGATGCCCAGCACGCTGCCAAACTAGGTCATCTGCCAAGTTTGGACTTAAGCGATACAATTTCTTGAACTCCGTTGGTCCTAAATGAAATGGATTGCCCACATTTCTCAACACACGTCGATCCACTGTTGGAGGACTAGACTCCCGATCGCTCCGAAATTGGGTGTATCCCAAGTACTCGCAAGCCATTTTTAAAACAAAGCGCAACTAAAAACTTGAAATTTTGATTATGTTAACGACAAAAAAATTTTGTCGAGAACTTAGCCACAATCAAAACGTTAATGATAACAGCTGATTTTGTCAAAGCGAATTTCGTTAGAGAAACGTTTAATGAATAGCAAAATCGATAAAATTTACTTTTAGCTAACTTCACGATGCGAAAAACGATAAAATAGAGTAGTGAATTGCACTACTGGACAAAAATAAGTACACTCTCGCGGAATTAAACCCCACTCTTGTATGGCCTCAAGTGCACGGATATTTAATGGGCCTTCATCCCTGTATCCAAATAAATCATATAACTTTAGTAAATTAATTTCTTCCATAATGTATTAACAAATAGTGATTGCGTTGAAATACACACAGAAAATGCAATGAAAATGCACAGAAAATGCCATACTTACAATTGATATAATAAAGCGACATACATTCGAATCTTTTAAAATGCTCAAATAAAAACGAAAAACCGGTCAGCCGCTGCGTACCTTTTTTGAATAGTGTGATAAAAAAGTTCAGAGCAAAAATACTCTCAACAGCGTAGCCGACGTTGGACCGACCAGGGCTATTTTTTGGAAATACTCCGATTTGCGAGAAACTAAACCCAACATGTTGTATATCAAATGAAAGCTTGATTTGTGCACTATATATTTATGTGTAATTAATAAGTAAATTTTTAAAGAAAAATGTGTTTGTTTAAAATTTGTGTTTTAAAGCGTCTCAGATTTCCTATTAAATGACATCAAAATATTTAGAATACGTGCGATGGTTTTTGAGATATTTGGATTTGAAAAAAAAGCGCTACATTTGACCTTTGACATTTCGTAACTATCGTAGTTGTCGTTTCCGCCTCAAAAAAATTACACCGTTATACTTGTCTCAAAAACTTCTAACCTTCACACTTATTTTTTTAGTTTTTGCAACGTTCGTATTCTTAACTTATACCGAAATATAATGCGAGTAGAAAAAATTACCAATTACTGATATTGGGTTTAGCAGTAGCAGTCACTATAAGCGATTTTTAAATCACAGTGATAAAATCACCGGTACGAAATATCGCTCATCACTAGATTATATTGCAGATTAAGTAATAAATCGTTTGTTTGAGACCAGGTTTTCCTGCCTTGTTTAAAGCGATCAGCACTCAATCTTCGTCCCAGTACCGCTGACTTCATTTTCGGTTTGCAACCTTCAGAATAATACTGGGATTCCATAACTCGGTCTCATCTCAAGTCACTAAATTTGAGACAAATTTTTTGCGACTTTGTTTGTGACTTGAATCGATTTTGGTATTCAGTAAGAGAGAGTCACAAAAAGTTCACCAAAAATGTGTAGTGAATACATACAGAGACAATCAGCTGATAGCATGTTCCAATTGGAGATGATAAAAGAGTTCAGCAAATATTCATTAATCGATTACATACGAAAGTAGGGTTTTTAAACGCATTTAAAAAACAAAATCTTCGTTAGAAGTATAAAGAATGTGATTACTACTAAGCATTTATACAAAAATATTTTATCATCGTGTTTTATAAGCGTTTTATCTGAATCGATTATCCAAGAGAATATATAAAGGACAGAAAAGTGAGCAATCGATTAATGCCGTATTTCATCGCTATTCACATTCAACTAAAATGGCCGATGAAGGTAAGTAATTGTAAACAAATAAAATTTTCTTATTTTGTTAATTTTCTTTGAAAATAAGGTATTTTTATTTTGCAGACATACACAAGACAACGCGAACAAGCAAGGAGCAAATTGAGTGCTACCTGTCATTTATGCGGAGCCACCCTGAGTTAAAGCTCAATAAAAATGATCCTACACGTCCAAAAAGGCTAGAGGAGCTGTGGATAGAGCTAGCAGAGAAACTTAACGCTCTTAAAGGGCCGATACGTACTCCGCCTAAATGGAAAGAGGTAAATCTTAAAACATATATAAAAAAATTGTGCGTTATAAGAGTTCCACATTATTTTTATTTCAGTCTTTAGCCCATTGGAAAAACCAAGTCCGATCCAGGGCTAGGAAGGCAAAGGCCCATTGCTTGGTGACGGGCGGAGGTCCCTGCTTGCAAGAGGAACTCACGGAGAGGGAGCAACAGGCATTGGAAACTTTCGGGTCGGCCGTGGTTGACGGGATGACTGATATCCCAAACGTTGGTGCCGAGGTAGTACACACATACTGTCAGGATTAAACTTCTTTCTTCATTATCAAGTAACATACGCACCGTACATATGAATTAATGTATTTATATGCAAAACAACTATTTTTGATTTTTCAGACTGAAATACTAATTTCTTACGACCCCGGTAGTCCTATTGTCCAAACGATGGACGCATTAACTGATACTCCGACAACTTCACGTCACCGCAAAGGAACCTCTGGTGAGATGTTCGGAGAGATGATGGCATCTATAAGGGAGAGGAATGACGAAGAAAGAAAATACAGAGAAGAATCTCTAAAATGCATGGCAGAATTTTCTAATTCCATGAACAATATGGCCAGTGCAATATTGACCTTGTCCCAAGCCATAGTCAAAAAAGACTGATAAAGTTACCTGCCTACATACATACGGTGACGGAAAAAAAAGTTTTTTGTGATAATTTTTTCTAATATTTAACATAGTTTCTACGATAACAAAAAACACATTCTGATTAACAGGTTTGAAGTTAAGATGAAAATTTTCCGATTTATTTAAGTTTATACGAAGTTCTAAGCTTTGATTTAAACGGTTTTTGTTATCGTAGAAACTATGTCCTTAGTAAAAATTCTCAAAAAATGTAGCATGAAAAACATTGTGAGTATTGCCAAAAATTAGTTTTGTGAAATTTTTTTTTCCGTCACCGTATGAATGTATACTTTTACTCAATTAAAAACTTAAAAAGCTACCTGGTCACACACATACATTGAATTAAAGACTGAAAAAGAGACCTCATTACATACATACATATGTATGTACTTATTGAATTAAATAGTCGTAAGCTATGGATATACATATTTTCCATTGATTAACAATTTATGTATTTGGTTTAAAGGAATATGTTTTTTAGTTATGGGGTTTTACATACTTATGTATGATTTTATTGAATTAAAGACTACATACATATGTATGCATGCACCCTTTTATTGAACTAAAAGCTGAAAGCTATTTGTTTACATAGATATGTAAGTTTTTTATTGAACTAAATTTCTGTAAGCTATGGACAATAAAGCTGTTTTAAAACCACATTTGATTTCAGTTAATATCTTTTCGATTCGAGTATTCAGTTACATATACCGGTTTCAATTAAAGTATAACGAATCCAAAATTTTATATGGTTAAAGCGTTTAGGCAACTTTGACGTGCCCTTCCGCCTTCGGAGTAATACTCTGTCAATTCCATTGGCTCGTTCGCACCAGCATTATCTGGAGTGGAGTCTTCTGGCAACATGGTTTCCTCTGTTATATAAATACCTCGTTTTTGCAATATATTGTGGAAAATTGCGCATGTATATACAATAAATGCGGCATTTGTATGGCTATATCTGAGCACACGCTCTTTTGATAGACACCTGAAGCGAGATTTGAGGATCCCAAATGCGCGCTCTATACCGTTTCTAGCCTTTATGTGAACTTTGTTGAAAAGGAGTTCATTGGCTGATGCAGGGCTTGCTATTGGCGTAAGAAGCCAAGGCTCCAAGGGATAACCAGAGTCGCCCAAAAGCCATTTAAATACTCCTGAAACGTGCTCTGTGATGACCTTAATCCTTATCGGTGATGTTGTCCAAATACCAGCGTCGTGGCATGAGCCAGGAAATCGTGCATTTATGTTCCGGAAAATTAGCGCATCATCGCAAATCTAGGAATCGGGTGATTCACGTATTATTAAATATTCCAACATGTTGCTAGTGCAAGCAAGAATTTTAAATACTTACAGCTTCAACATTAATACTGTAGAATCCCTTCCTATTCATATACTTATTGGAAACTACTCCAGGGGTTGAAGATGGCGGGGCAATTATGGCCACATGTGTGCAGTCAATAGTACCTATTACTCCTTTAATTCCGAATTTGTTATGAAAACTGAAAATATTTTTATAAATAAACGTATTTTTCCATATGTCTATACAACTTACCCCCTCTTAATGCTGTTGTAGTGGTCAGCAGCATTGGGAAAACTTATTTCAAAATTTTTGTGTTCTACAACAAGCCTGCATATGTGTTTTATGTTTCTAGAGACGCTGGGCAGACTCATGGCTGTGAAATGGCTATTTCCAATGCAGCTTTGGTATGAGCCATTCGAGAGAAAATATAGTACTGAAATAAATAATATAAAAACAAGTAAGAAAGTCTAAGTTCGGGCGAAGCCGAACATTAAATAC